CATCCTACCCTCACCTGGAGACCTGCTGGTCTCTTCTTGGGCTGCCCAGCCAATGTCTTGCTGTAGCAGGGGACACTCGCTTCTTTATTGATGGCGTGGAAGGAGTGAGGCCTTGGAATCATACTGGGTATAAATCCCTATGCCATCACTCACCAACCATGTGACTTTGGGGAAGTCACTTTTCTGAGCCTCAGTTTCCACAGCTGTAAAACAAGGATGATAATTTGTAATTTGCAGAGCTGCCATGAAATTAAATGAAGCAGAATATGTACAGGCCGTAGACGTTTCTGGCCTTCCTAGCGAAGGCACTGGCTCAGTATAAACGCCTCTAACCCCTCTTCCCCCCAAGTCCCCCACTGGGTTGCTTCAGTTCTGGTGCCAGGTTCTGAGAACAGCCTAATTCACCCTCCTTTTCTTTTTTTTCCTTCTCATCTCAGTGTCACCTCCTACCCTGGCCCCTCTCCAAATCCGGTGTCACGTGACATTGTCTGCCTCAAGCTTTGGGGATGTTCCTAGGCTAGGAATCTCAAGGGCGTCTTCTCTCTTTCCTTGTCCCTCTACACCTACTCCCCGACATTCTGACTTAGTGATCCCATCCATATTTGTGGCTTTACCTCATCTATAGGGAAGGCTCTCAAATCCATTTCATGCCCTGACTCCTCAGGCTAGGCTCTGCCCTCCCTGTTCCTAGATCTCAAGCATAGCACAGGGAGATCAGCTCGGTGCTTTGTGACCACCTAGAGGGGTGGGATGGGGAGGGTGGGAGGGAGGGAGATGCAAGAGGGAAGAGATATGGGAACATATGTATAGCTGATTCACTTTGTTATAAAGCAGAAACTAACACACCATTGTAAAGCAATTATATTCCAATAAAGATGTTAAAAAAAAAAAAAAAGAGGAAACTCTACCATCTGCACTTAGCCATTTTGCAGACGCAGCCTGTGAAGGCATGTTAACATCACCTATTTATTGAGCACCTAGTGGGTCCATGTCTCTGCACCCGGATACAACATAGGAGGGAAAAGATGTGGTTCTTGTCCTCAGAGACTCCTGGGTCAAAGAGGGTTCCAGTGCCAAGTACGTGCACAGCATAGCTATAAACAGGTACCACTGGAAATAGAAAGTGATTTCCATGTAAACACTATGTCACTGTGGCTTTTAATGCTATCAGTGGAGCCAAGAATAAACCATTGGCAGTACTATCACATGGGAGAAGATAATGGAAAGAAAGAAAGGAGGAAGGAAGGAAAAGAAGAAAGAGAAAGAAAAGAAAGGAAGGAAAGGAGAAAGAAAGGAAGGAAGGAGGGGAGGGAGGGAGGGAAAGAAAAGGAAAGGAAAGGAAGGATTTAAGAACAGAAAAGGAGAGCAGCCGTGAGAAAAGTGAAAAGCAGGGGTCTGTACAATGAATGTCTCCTAGTGGAACTCCCATATAATGCTGAGTTTCCTCTACAGTGTTTGCACCCAGGTGTGTTACACTTCTGCCTGAAAAATTCCAGGGACGGGAAACTCACCCATAAATACTCTTGGAGCCCATTCCATGGTGGACAGTGATAATTATTAGAATGTTCATCTAATAATGTAGAACCTAGCATTGCCTCCCTATCACTGTTTTCATTGGTTTTGGTTCCCCTCTCGTTCCTAAAGCCAAGCCACACTTCGCTCCCTGGGCTTCACAGCCTTCACCATCTGGGCCCTGTCTAGTTCTCCCACTTTATCGTGTGCCATTTCCTCCTTCGGCGCTGTTTGCTGGGGCTCCTTTCATTTCTAACACACCAAGCGCGTTCCTGCCTGAGAGCCTTCCGACCAGAGCTCTGTCTCCTGCTCTCTGCGTGAAATTTAGGCTTCAGCTCGAGTGCCACCTCTCTAGAGGAGCCTTCCCTACCAGCATAGCTAAAATAGCCCCCTCTGGGAGGCTAAATTTGATGACATTTAAAAAAAAAAACCCAAAACCCTGATGACACAGCACCTATAAGCTAAGTCAAAAGCCAATAAAAAAATCTGGGAAAATATTTGCATATTAGGTATTACATGGCTAATTTGTTATTACATGGCCTTTAAAACAGAAAGGCTTTCTACAGTTCAGTAAGATAAACACCAGTTGGGCTATTGGTCTAATATGAAAAAAATGGGCAAAGGATATGAACAGTTCACGAAACAAACAACCAACATATGCTGCTCAAACATTTATAAAAGTACTCAAACTCACCTATGGTAAAAAAAAACGAAAAGAGAGAGAGATACTTTTTTTATCTATCAGATTGGCAAAGATAATATTGTATCAGCAAGGTTATGGCAACAGTAACCCTCATATCCTGCTGGTAAGAGCGTAAACTGGAAAAATTTTTATAGAGGGTGATTTGATAATATTTATCTAAGTTACAAATGCACAAACCCTTTCATCCAGTGGTTTTTACTCCTAGAAATTTGCCCTACAGTTATGCTCCCGAGTGTGGAAATTGATATGGGTACAAAGGTACTCATGGCAGTGTTGCATGTAATAGCAAGAGGCTGGAAACAATACGTGGATCAATCAACTGGGGAATGGATAAGTAAATTACAGTGCATTCATACAGTAAAATAGTACGCAGTTATTAACAAGAATACGGCACATGGGTGGCACTAAGGTGCATTGAGTGTATTTTGTATTGGCTTGCAGGCATTTTTTATTTGTTTTTTTTTTTTTTTTTTTTTTTTTTGTACGCGGGCCTCTCACTGTTGTGGTCTTTGCCGTTGCGGAGCACAGGCTCCGGATGCGCAGGCTCAGCGGCCATGGCTCACGGGCCCAGCCGCTCCGCGGCATGTGGGATCTTCCCGGACTGGGGCACAAACCCGCATCCCCTCCATCGGCAGGCGGACTCTCAACCACTGTGCCACCAGGGAAGCCCTTGTTTTTTTTTTTTTAAAGAGAGCCCCTAAAATTGTATCAGCTTCAGGCCCTACGAAACCGGGATATTCCCCTGCAACACAGTGGGGAAACAGACACATTCCTGTCAATGACAGAGGTTTGCTCCACAGTGCTGGGAGGGGGAGGAGGATATGGAGGGATATAGGGGTGCGTGGGGATGGATCAGAGTGTGAAAAAGTTCCACAGGTGTCTACTATATATAAAATAGATAAACAACAAGGATCTACTGGATAGCACAGGGAACAATATTCAATATCTTATAATAACATACAATGCAAAGAATCTGAAAAAGAACATATATATATATCTGAATCACTTTGCCGTACACCTAAAACTAACACAACGTTGTAAATCAACTATACTTCAATGAAAAAAGAAGTTTCCCAGGTGATTCTGATATGCTCCACCCCTTTGACATTTACTACTACTCTGTGTTCAACCGCAAGTCCCCAGTGTTGTACAGCCCTTCCCATGTCCTAACTTCTTTTAATTTTTTAAAATTAAAAAAAAATATTTATTTTTTGGCTGAGCCATGCAGCATGCAGTATCTTAGTTCCCTGACCAGAGATCGAACCCGTGCCCCATTTATTTATAATAAATAAATATTATTATATTGGGTCATCACTGCTTGCGGGCTTTCTCTAGTTGCGGCGAGCGGGGGCTACTCTTTGTTGCAGTGCGCGGGCTTCTCATTGCAGTGACTTCTCAGGCTTCTCGTTGCAGTGACTTCTCTTGTTGCGGAGCACAGGCTCTAGGCGCATGGGCTTCCGTAGTTGTGGCACACGAGCTCAGTAGTTGTAGCTCACGGGCTCTAGAGCACAGGTTCAGTAGTTGTGGCGCACGGGCTTAGTTGCCCCGCGGCATGTGGGATCTTCGCGGACCAGGGCTCGAACCTGTGTCCCCTGCTTTGGCAGGCGGATTCTTAACCACTGTGCCACCAGAGAAGCCCAGAAGCACGGAGTCTTGACCACTGAACCGCCAGGGAAGTCCCCCTAACTTCTCCTTAAGGCTTCAGAGCCACTCGCACTGTCAGATGAAGACTGACCTATGCAGCTAACGTTCAGGTGGCCTCCATCCATCTCATCGACCTCCCTGCCTTCGTCAGCCTAGTCCCCTCGGCCCTTGAGGTGACCGTAGGATGCTGGGACCAGCCATCCTAACTCCAGAGTGGCTTCCTTTCCCGGGCTCTTCTGACCTCTGATTTGAAACACAGCTACTATTCACCTCGTGTTTAACGATAAGATGGCAATATATCACCCGAAATTTCCAGATCATCCTCGAAGTCTGTCAGTTCTGGAGGCAAGACGCCTCTAAACAGTTCTCATCTTCTAAAAATCACATGGCTATCCACTTTCTGTTTGTCTCCTTTTTGCCAGTTGTCAGAGAAACACGTGCTGCTGCTTGGGAAGTTTGGAGAAATTTCGAGGAAGGTAGAGAGTAAACCAGGCTGGCAGGAAAGACCCCAGTTACATAAATCAAGCAGTAAAGTATATACATGGATATGTGTAGTTGTATATACATATATATGTGTGGTTATATATAGATAACTATAGTTTTTCTTAAAAGTGAAGGAGGCAGAGAACTCTGAAAAATAGAGGGCAGACTCAGAAATAGCTCCACTCTGTTTAGTAGGACATGATTCCTTTCACTTTCCTAAATGTCCTCCTCCCCTCCCCTCCCCCTCTCTTCCTCCCTCCCCCCCTCCTTCCATCCATCCTTCTAATGACTAAAAACAGCTAAAAACATTCTGTAAAGCTTTTTCATTATTAATATGATTATGAGGTGTATCTCAGCCTCTGTCTTCACCTGATTTGCCTTGAGCCTTATAAAATGAAGGCACTCTGGGCAGTCCCCACATGGAAGATTCTAATTCAAATCTACAATGATTTGAGGAAAGCAATTTATTTTTTTTAAAAAGTGAATTGAACCTTGAATACAGTTGTATTGAGAGTGAACAAAAGAGATATGGAAGAAGCCATCCACTCTCCATCAATCAAGGAAGTTTTGTCAGAAACTCCACCCTCCGTCACCCTCCACTTCCCTTCCTGGTAGGAGCCAACACCCAGAAGAAAGCAGATGTATCCCTGCGGCTGACTCAGAACTCTCAGGTTAGAGAAGAGAAGACGGGCCCTGCTGCGTGCATCACACGGGAGAGACGCAGGTCTGCTTTGGGTAAAGCCTCAGGCTCTTGAGGAAGGAAGCCAGGAAGGTGTATCAGCAAAGCCCCCGAAGATTCTGGGCCTGTGATGAGGACCACAGAGGGGACCCGGCACCAGAACTCTGACTTTAGCCTCCTAGGGAGCTCACCAGCTTGTCACCTGGAGAAACTGGCAAAAGACAGCAGCCTCCACAGTGCGTTCCTTATGGCCTGGACAGCTGGCAGAGGCCCTGGGGCACTTTCCTGATGTCTGGGAACAAAATGGGTACACGAGTGTTCCAGAGGTTCCTGTGAAGACCTGCAACTGGGCAGAAGTACATCAAAGGCCTCTCAAGACGATCGATTGGACAGGAAGTCTCAAAAGGCATCTTTTTTTTTTTTTACTGAAAAGTGGTGGACGCTCTGCTGAAGGATGAGAGTTCTTTCAAGAGAAAAATAGGCTCATGTCGTTGTATTTGCTGAAGGGTTGGCCCTTCAGGAGACGTGATGCTTACCACTCCCTCTCAAGTCCGAGCCCCAGTGTCTCCCCACAACGATCTCCAAAGCCTCTACCTGCTCTCTCCGGTGCCCACCCTCCCATCACATTCTCCACACAGCTGCCAGAGCCATCTTTTTATTTTGGCTGTACCATGAGGCTTGTGGGATCTCAGTTCCCCGACCAGGGATTGAACCCTGGCCACAGCAGTGAAAGCCCAGAATCCTCAAATGAAAAGGAAAATGAAACCATGCTCCCTCCACAGCTGAAAATTCTCTAACAGCACTTGATATCATTTTATGAACATAAATGAATAAACAAAGCCCAGGGATCAGCAGAGATGTTCTGGAATGGACCACAAAGTAAGTATTTCAGGCTTTGTCCATTATGGTGTCTGCTGTGCTGTTGTCCCCCAAAAGATGGGCTGCGCTAGAGTGAAGCAAGCCAGTTATCCAGTGAAACAAAGTTAAAGGAGATGGTCACTCTCAAGGCTGTGAAAGCAGCCACAGAAACACATAAAGAACTGGCATGGGGCTCCCCTGGTGGCGCAGTGGTTGGGGGTCCACCTGCCGATGCAGGGGACACGGGTTCGTGCCCCGGTCCGGGAGGATCCCACGTGCCGTGGAGCGGCTGGGCCCGTGAGCCATGGCCGCTGGGCCTGTGCGTCCGGAGCCTGTGTCCGCAACGGGAGAGGCCACATCAGTGAGAGGTCCGCATACAGCAAAAACAAAAAAGAACTGGCATGGCCATGTTCCATGAAAACCATATTTGGCCCCCAGGCTGCATGCACCAGGTTCTCAGGTCAGAGTCTGCATTTGCTCATCCTCTTCCTGGAATCCTCTTTCTCAGATTTTTGCATAGATGGCTCCAAGTGCTAGCTGACTCAGTAAACAGATTAAATGTATATTTGGAAAATCAGCGAAGAAAGAGCTCTAAAAATGAGAAAATATTTTGGAATGAATTTGATTTTAGATATTTCCCCCAAAGTATTCAAGTAGTTCTTACAGGGGTGAGGGAAGCAGAACTTCATTGACATTCTTTGCACTTACTTTAAGCCTTGATTGGCTTTTTATATTTTTAGTTGCCTGGGGGGGGGGGCGGGGGCGGGGAAGGGGGGGGGCCCCCCTAATCTTGTCGTGTTTAAAGCCTCTAAAGTCTCAGTGTGCCCCTGCTGCCTCCTTTTGGTCACTGTGGCCTCAGGTCAAGTGTTGCCTTCTCAGGGAAGGTTTCTCCAACCAGTGACTTGCTGGTGCCTCTTCACCACCTATTACGTTCTGCTGTTGTGTTTTCTCACAGCACATAATCACTGTCTGCAATTATTGTGCTTTTTTTCCTTTAATTAATTTATTTTATTTATTTATTTATTATTTTTGCCTGTGTTGGGTCTTTGCTGCTGCGCACGGGCTTTTCTCTGATTGTGGCGAGTGGGGGCTACTCCTTGCTGCGGTGCGCAGGCTTCTCACTATGATGGCTTCTCTTCTTGTGGAGCACGGGCTCTAGGAGCACGGGTTCAGTAGTTGTGGCTTGTGGGCTCTAGAGCGCAGGCTCAGTAGTTGTGGCACATGGGCTTAGGTGCTCCGCGGCATGTGGGATCTTCCCGGACTAGGGCTTGAACCCATGTCCCCTGCATTGGCAGGCGGATTCCCAACCACTGTGCCACCAGGGAAGCCCCTATTGTGCTTTTTTATGTGCGTCCTTGTTGACTGTTTCCCTTTTGCATGTGGGCCTCAGAAGCCCAGGAATCCTGTCTGCCTTGTTTACTCTGCATCCTGCACCTAGTACAGTGTCTGGCACCTGGAAGGCATGCAAGAAAATATTTGTTGACTGACTCAGTGACTGAATGAAAGAGCTCAAAGCGTTTTACGTATGAGGTCTGATCCTAGTTGAAATTCTCTGCTTGTCCATCATAGAACCTTAAAAGTGACTTGGAACCCAGCTTGGATAACCGAATCAGCTTTAGCTAATGGACTTAAATCAATTTAGGCAAAAGCCAATCTGTCAACAGAAGAATTTGGACCAAATGAGATTTGGTAGAACATTTTGCTACTATATCATGGAAAGATTTCTCAGTTCTTTATCTTTTATCCATTTGGTCTGTTTTTCCAAAATGTTTGCTTTTTACTTTCTACTTCTTAGATTTTAATGAACTTTTGGCTGATTCTCTAGGGAAACATAATTTAAACATCCAACAATAAAAATTTTATTGAGAAAATCAGATTTCCTTGAGTTCTGTGCATGAATATAGAAACAGTTAAATATGCAGTGCATATATAACAGTTAAATATTGAGTGTATGGTGAACATCTGACTTGTGTCAGGCATTGTTTTGGGCACTAGGATTGCTGTGGTGAACCCATTCTGCCTTCAGACTCCTGGGAGGAATAGATGTAAAACAGATTCAAACCAAAAAAAAGTCAAGTTTTGATAGGCACTAAAAAGGAAATAAACAGGGAGCTGAGATGGGCGATGCCTCCTCTTGTTCGGGTGATAAGAAAGGCCTTATGGAAGAAGTAACATGGAGGAAATGATGAGAAGCTGCCTTTACGGAGGGTAGGGAAAAGTGTATTGCAAGGTGAAAATACCACATTATGCAGCGTTACTAAGGTAGGAAAGAGAGCTTGGCTTATTTCAAGAACAACAAAAAAAAGGGGTGTGACTGGATCACGGTGGGTAAAGAAGATGAGGCACAATGAACTCGTCGCTGGGGCTTCCTGGGCCACAGTAATGAGTTTGGATTTTAAGTGCAGGGGTTTCACAAAGCAGAGTGATGCCAGCTTATTTAAGCCTAAGGAAGATTGCTCTGGCTTCCATGTAGAGAACAGATTGATGTGGGGCAAGTGTAAAAGTGGGGAGCCCCGAGAGAAGGCTGTTGCAGTAATCCACTCGGGAGATGATGGCAGTCTGGAATGGTTGTGGCAGTGAGACTGGGAAGGAGGAGAAGTTGGAGGTACAACTTGGCAGTCGAATTGAGAGGCGTTGTTGGTGAGTCCAATGTAGGAACTGAGAGTAGGCATATCAGTCAGTGTCCAGCTGGGAGAACAGAAATCATTCCAGGTATTTCAAGTGGAGGGAATTTGACCTAAGGAATCAGTTACAAAAGTGTGGGATAGGTTGGAGGAACCAAAAGGAGAGGATGCAGTGACCTAGAGATAAGTATCTTCAAGAAGTCTTGGACCACTCCTAAGGCTGGAGATAAAATAGAGAAGTGCTGATGTTTTCAGAGCCCAGGAGTACCTGGCATCTGACACCGCGGGAAGCTGCAGATGCTGTCGGCACTGGCCACTGCCCCAACCGTGGATGCTGTTGCTGGAGCTGCTGAAGGCCACTGCCACAGCCACTGTCAGAAACTTGCTTTTAAAGGGGGGTGTCTCTCCCTCCCTCATTTTATCCAGTTTCCCACCAGTGCTTCGTACTGGCAGCATTTAACTCGGCCGGCTGGCAAGGGAGTCTGGGAGATGCAGTTCACAGGATCCCAGCCACCTCCAACAGAGCAGCACACAGAATGGCAGGGCCTGTACTTAGCACGAGCAAGCCAACGGCCAGCGCATGGAAGAACTAAAGGTTTGTTTTAAGTAGGAAAAACAATCTATATTTTATAAAAAGTATGTATTATATTTCTTTTTTTTTTTAACAAAAGCAATATGTGCCCGTTAGAAAATACAGGAGGGACTTCTCTGATGACTCAGTGGTTAAGAATCCACCTGCCACTGCAGGGGACATGGGTTCGAGCCCTGGTCCGGGAAGATCCCACATGCCGCGGAGAAACTAAGCCCGTGTGCCGCAACTACTGAGCCTGCACTGTAGAGCCCGTAAGCCACAACTACTGAGCCCACGTGCCACAGCTACTGAAGCCCGCATGCCTAGAACCCGTGCTCCGCAACAAGAGAAGCCACTGCAATGAGAAGCCCACACACCGCAATGAAGAGTAACCCCCGCTCTCCGCAACTAAAGACCGCACACAGCAACGGAGACCCAGTGCAGCCATTAAATAAATAAATAAATAAATAAATAAATAAGGAAAACAATACAACGTAAAAACTTCCATATTCCCACCTACCCAAAAACAATCATTAATAACATCTTGATCTCAATCTCTCTCAAAAAGGGACTCTAACTCTACATTCAGTTTTGTAACCCACTGCACTAAATGTTTGCAATCAAACATTTGCTGGACGTTTACTTCGTTACAACTAGCTCCCAGGGTTGAATATTTATGTTCTATAAACATTTTCGGATTATAAATGTAAAAAAGGAATTATTGCCTGAAGACAAATTTGCAGTTTAAGAAAACAGTTCATGAAGAATACAGTCGTAAACTCTAATTTGAATATTAGGAGATTATTTGCTTAGGTAGAAAGAGAAAATAATTCTTTTAAATATAAGGTAGAATGTCAGGTCTTTCTTTAGACTGTTCATTTCCTTTTTTTGGGAAGAAGAAAACAGTAGAATTTCAGAGCTGGAAATGGAGACGAGCTTTAGCTACAGAATACACTAGAACTCTCCTGCTGCGCATCTGCCTGGTCTCCATAGAGTCAGACTTCTTGAGGAAGCTGGTCCTCTGAAGTGTGCAGAAGGGGTGACACGGAGACAAGGTGGCTTTAAGAGTGGGTGGTAGGGCTTCCCTGGTGGCGCACTGGTTGGGAGTCCGCTTGCCGATGCGGGGGATGTGGGTTCGTGCCCCGGTCCGGGAGGATCCCACGTGCCGCGGAGCGGCTGGGCCCGTGGGCCATGGCCGCTGAGCCTGCGCGTCCGGAGCCTGTGCTCCGCAACGGGAGAGGCCACAGCAGTGAGAGGCCCGCGTACCAAAAAAAAAAAAAAAAAAGAGTGGGTGCTAATTATTATGGCTACAGGGTGACCATGTCTCTGGTGTTATCTGTTAGAATCCTTTTGACAACTGGTAGCAGAAAACCGTGACTTAAATTGGCTTTAAAAATGAGGAAATGCATTATCTCACATAACTGGAAGTCCAGAGGTAGGACAGGCTACCGGAATAGTAAGATGAGCCGCTCAGTGATGTCACCAAGGTCCCAAGTTCTTGCCACACTCTGTTCTGCCTTCCTCCTGAGACTGGCTCCCTTCAGGGTGACTAGATGGCTGCCAGAGGCCACAGAGCTGCCTGCCCTTCTCCATGTTCAGCAAGAAAATTAGACCCTTCCCTTCAATACAAATTCTTTTCAAGCAGACCAGTGGTTCCCAGTACTGCTGCACATTAAAGTCACCAGGAGTGCTGTATCATTTATTTATTTATTGTGATTATTTCATTTGTACTTTATTATTTCATTTGTACTTTATTATTTATTAATTGATGATGATGATATATTATTTATTTGCTATTTTATTTTTTTAACTGCAATACCTAGGCCTTTTCTCTAGAAATATTAGTCTGGGGTAGGGCCCAGCTGGAGGTCATTTTTAGAAGCTCCCAGCTGATTTTCATGTACAGCCAGGGCAGAGAACCACTGGTTTAGGATGGTTTAGGTCACCTGCCCACCCCTAGACTAACAGTCACCAGGGAGGGTAATGCCATGAACTGATTGGCTTAGAAAAGTGGACCTCCAAGTGTGACACCCCCCCACCACCCCTGGCCCCAGTCTCGACCAGCAGAAACAGCTCCCAGGACCCCGTCAGAGATGTAGATTCTCGGGCCTCACCCAGGACTATGGACTCAGAAACTCCAGGGGTGGGACCCAGAAGTTTGTGTTTTAACAAGCTTGCCATGTGATTCTGATGGATACTAATGTTTGAGACCCACGGCCTGAGATCAGTCAGGCTCTTCTCTGGAGCTTGGGAGGAGATAAATAGGAGAACAAAATCGAGGTCTGTTAGAACGGTGAACCCCAGGACCCCGAGCCTTTTAACATTCCCTCCTCCCGCCGACAGACCAGAACAGGGCGGGGGATCCGCCACCTGAACCCCCAGACGCCTAGCTGTACAGAGAGGCCTCCCACCTGTGCCACCAAGCCTTAGCCACAGCAACAGGCTTCGCAGTGGGCCAAGCTAAGATGGGAAGAAAGCACGTGCTGTAGGTATCCATTCCTTCCTACCCTGGGGAACCTGGAAGTTTCTGTAGGTGCTAAAGGGCTGAAAAGACAGGCCTGGTATATACTCTCCTGAAAACCCTTTGAACTAATTTCAACTACTGTACAATTTCAACAGGATCCTGGGGGGGAAAAAAAGGCCATTCAGTAAAAACAAAAGCAATCTGAACACGATAAGGACTTTAGTTAACAATAATGTCACAATATTGGTTCATAAATTGTGACGAGTGTAACCATATTAATATCTGATGTCAATAGGGGAAACTGGGTATGCGGCACATGGGGACTATGTATAAATCTTCACAACTTTCCTGTAAATCTAAAACTATTCTAAAATAAGGTTATTTTAAATACAGCATATTAAGATGTGAAATTCTAATGAATGAAAACACCTTTGGAAAAAGCTTTATAAAATTAAGCAAAAAGAGTTCTTTAAAATATTCCATATTAATCTAAATTTGACACTGTTGTATTTTTATGATCGGTACCATGTTTTTAGCGGGAGAGAATGCTTTTTAGACGTTTTCAGCTTAAACAAAAGTTGAATTGGAAAATACTAATGAATATTCCTGATATGTCATACTTCCTAGGACCTGCACACAGCGGAATTATCAAAGAGCAATTGAGAGAGGCTTAAACTTGTTCATATGCTTAGAAATAATTAAGAACCAATCAAGTCCCATTCTTTGCCATCCCCTTAGACTTGGAAAGGAGTAGGATGGCTGGACTCCACAGGGAATGGGACATAATCCCATGCCTCTCTCTCTCAACCCAATTCATAGCAGTGAGCGCAAGCATAAGTTCCCTCAGGCACTCTCCTCTTGTTTCACCAGCTCCATTTAAATGAAATGGACATCTTGTGTCCTGAGGGGTGAGTCTTGCAATTGAATCCGGTGGATTGAGGTGTGGCTCATTACTGACTACTACTCTCAACAGACTGTACATCACTGAATTTATGTGGGATTCCTGGAAACACTGCGCCATAATTGGAACGGAGCAAGGAGCAAATCCTAATTTGTAGCTTGGAAGGTTCCTACCAATGTAGTCAACTAAATAGTTCGTGGTAAATTTTGCTTATTGTCCTTCTACACTAAGTATCAGTAAGGAAACCAAGAGTTAAAATTGTCATTGCAGGTGAACGTGCTATAATTAAGGGTTATAATAAAAAAGAGTACTTAAG